AAACATTTTGATTGAGGTTGATGTATGGATACGTAAAACAATTTTATGCTGTTTTTCAAACTGTGTATTTCAAACTATTTCTAAACTATACAATTTCTAACAAATTATCTGTAGATTATTTTGAGTTTTCTGTGAAGACAGTGACTCTTAAGGATAACATACAGTTCTCTTTTACTGCACTGGGTAGGGTTCACGATACAGTGATGAATAGAAACTATAATAATAGACATCCTTGGGGTACCTTGGGTGGCTCAGTCAGTTAAGCATCTGCGTTAGGCTCAGGTCATGATCCCAGCCGGGGTCCTGGGATCGAGGCCTGCATTGGGCTCCCTGCTCATTGGGGAGCCTCCTTCTTCTCTCTCTGTTGCTCCCCCTGCTTGTGCTCTTACATGCTCATTCTCTGTCAAATAAATAGATAAAATCTTTTTTTAAAAAAATAATAGACATCCTTGTTTTTTCTTGATTTTAAAGGGGATTTCTACTTTTTCCTGTCAGGAATGAGCCTTCTCTATGAACATACTTTTCAGATTTGAGACACTCTCTTCCATACTAAATTTTCTAGTAGTTTTCTTTTCTTTCTTTTTTTTTTTTTTAATTTATTCATGAGAGAGAGAGAGAGACAGAGGCAGAGACACAGGCAGAGGGAGAAGCAGGCTCCTTGCAGGGAGCCCGATATGGGACCAGATCCCGGGACTCCAGGATCACGCCCTGGGCCGAAGGCAGGCGCTAAACTGCTGAGCCACCCAGAGTTTTTCCCCCTCTAGTAGTTTTCATAGTGCTTGTGTATCAAATTTTATCACACACTTTTTTTCTGCATGTGTTATTCTCATTTATTTATTTTAAAAATATCTGTCAATATGGTGAATGACCTTTAAAGATTTTCTAATGTAAAACCACCCTTGTGTATCCAGAATAATACAGCCTGGTCATAATTTGTGATTGTTTTTATCTAATTGTAGATTTGATTTGTTAATATTTTCTTTAGGATTTTTGAAAGTAGCTTCATTTTATAGGTAGTATGGGCTGCAATTTTCTTTTCTCAAACTATCTTTCATTAGTTTTGGTATCATGTTTACTGGACTCTTAGCATGAGCTGGGGAGAATCTTTCTCTTTTTCTTCTCTGGTAAAATTCTTATAACTATCTGAATCATCTGGACTTAAGGTTGTTTTTTGCCCTTCTAGCTTCTAAACTTCTACTTCTCAACTCTGTTTCAGTTTCTTTATTAATTATAAGATTTCTTGGGCTTTCTGTTTTGTTTGTTTTGTTGGAGCTGGTTTTATTGAATTAATGTTTTTTGTTCGTAAATTTTTAATTGTTCAAATTTATTGTATGTGTGGATAATAAAAATTCTGTTCTCATAATTTTCTTTTCTTCACAAAAAAGATTGTCTTCATTTTTATTTGTACTTCTTTTTATGCCTTCTCTCTATCTTTCTCTCTCTCTCTCTCTTTTTTTTTCTTGGTAGTTCTTTCTAGAGGATTTTGTTTTTGAGTCTTCAAAAACCAGTGTTTCAAATTGTGGCAATCTTTTGTCTTTCTGGTTACTTTTAAGATGTTCTTTTTGTCTTACTGATCTAAAGGTTCACTGAAATGTGATTAAGTCTAGATTCACTTCTAAATCTTTACTGCTTAGACATCGCAGTGCCTTTTCAATCTAAGGACTTGTGAGTTTCTTTAGTTTTGGAAAACTATCAGCTTGATCTCTTTGAATATACCTTCTTCACCATTCCCTGAACTATCATCTGGAATTCCTGTTAGACATTTTTGAGCATCCTTTCTTTTCCTTGCTTCTTAACCACTCTTTTATATTTTGTATCACTTTATGTTTTTTGTTACTTTCTTGTTGAGTTCTTCAGTAATGTCTATATTCTGTACAGAATGAGTTGTTTCCATTGAGTTTTAAGAATTATTTTTTTTTATTTTCAGATCATTCTTTTTCATGTTCATCTGTTCTTGTTTTATTTCTTTGTTTCAGATTTCTTGTTCTGATGGACATTGATCTCATTTCTTCCTCCGAGGACTATAAATATTTTTGTTTTAAAGTCTTCTTTGGACAGTCTTCTGTTTTCCTTTTCTTTGGAGAGAATCCATGTCCTGACTTCCAAATTTGTTGTCTTTCATACCTTTTGGAGTTTATATTGCTCACTTCCTATGCATGGTGGTCTTTCGCCTCCACTCAGTATTGTACTTGGGTTGTCTGCACCCTGCATTGTCAAGGCTCCCAATCTAGAGCCAGGCGTGGCAGCTAGCATGCTTTCCTAGAGGGTTAGTGTACTGTTTGGCTCAAGTTATAAGGCTACATTTATGTTCTCCTGCCTCTCTGGGCATGTCTACATGAGCCGTAGCCACCGTCACCAGCTTTTTTTTACTGTCTTTTTCATGGTAGTAGAGCTTCAGCCAAGGTTCTTTTCTCAAGCAGGAAACTTGTCTTTGTTCTTTGCTTCAGATAAATAAGTGCATTTAAACTATATATTGCCACAGGATCCAAATTCCTACCTACCTGTTTCTGTTTCTCCAGTCCCAGCAGATCTTTGAGTTCATTCCTTCTTATCTTCTTGCATTTTTTTTCCTTTTCTAATCTTGAAAATTATGAGATTTCCAGTTCACCTCTTGAACCAGAAATGTCTGGATCTGACCTATAACTGAGGTTAAGTTGGCTCCCCCTTCACACAGTGACATTTTGTTTGTGTGTCCTATGTAATTATGTATTCATCTTTCAAAGACTCCATGAGGCCACAAGCTCTTCTTTAGAAACAGTGGTCCCTTCTGAGCCATGTTTTTCAGGGATTCCCTTTATTATGACCTATGATTCAAATGTTTAACATGAAAACAGCACATCCCCTGTGCTAGCTGGAGGAGCTACATTTTAATCTAGCACTGCTTTTTATTGGGTTTGTAGCCCTTGGGAAGTATTTTTACTACCTTACACCTTTATTTTCTAATCTGGAACTTTGTAGGACAGTTAAGAAAATTAAACAGCATATTATTCATGAAAGCACTATAAAAGTAGTAAAGATGGAAATGTGTAGCTGTATGTCTTATGTATATTGAAAACATTGGAAATATATCCAACTCAAAATATCCATCTGTGATAGTTGAGTTTTATTTCAGGAAGCCATTCTTTGATATATTTATTCAATCAATATTTACTGAGCAGCTGCTATATCCCAGGCTCCTAGCTTGATACAATGAGGTGATAGGGCCCAGTATGGTTAGAGCTCCCAAGTGCTTTAATTTCCTTCTAATGGTAAGAGGTCTCATTTGTCCAAATATACAACTATAATGTTAATAACAGGCAGAAACAGATTGTGAGGAAAATGGGGAAGCTGAGAGAGAGACTAAAAACTCTTAGTCACTTTGACACATCTGCTCTTTACACTGGTGTTTTCTTGGTTTAAGTGATGACGTACTTAGATGACTGGGCCAAATCAACAGATTCGATATTTTAAAACCTTTATTTTCACAAAAATTATCTATTTGGCAAGGCCTGACTTCGTATTTCTGAATAGCAAGTGCAAAAATACAGTTTCCTCTTCTCTCTGTATTTAGTTTTGACTGTCAACCTATCCTTATGCTCTTCCCCTGGACTCTCTTCTCTTGCGGGAGATAGATTCCTTTAAGAGAAAAGGAAGGGACTAGATCCTTGCTGGTTCTTTTCTCTGTGGGTCCGTAACTCTGACCTTCATGGGACCACAGTTTGCACAAATAAAAGGAGCTGTGGCTCAGCTCAGCAGTCTCATAGCCATGCTGACTATCATATAGTGCAGAAAGAACAAGAAATTTTAACTAAGCCGGGCATTTTATGGCTTTGATTTAGTGCTTGCATATTATATACGTAATCATAAGGATTAATGCTAAATGTTACAGTTACCAAAGCTTGGAAATCCAGCCCAGTGAGTGTTCAGTCCCCAAACTGAGGAACCAGCCATTCTTCCCTTAAGCACTTGATGACATTCTTGTGATTTTATTATTTTCTTTTCCTTAGGCCTTCCCCTTCCAAATGTACTTTTGTCCCTCCCTCTTCCTTTATAGCCTCCATCTACCTTTCCTAGACTGCTTCTTACAAGGGAGCGCTCCTTTCCAACTAGGCTGCCTTTCCTTGGGATTAAGTGGCCATAGGCAAAGCTGAGCTGTGCCTGTCTGCTGGGCTTGATGTGGGGATCTGAGCCGGCAGGGCAAGGCCGAAGGGTGAGAGGGAGAGTGAGCCTCTAGCTGTCCTTGTCAGATGTCTCTGCGTGGTTTGCTTTGATTCTCATCACCCCCTTTGATGGAAGAGGCCACGCCTCATGAGCAGTCTTGACCGTGACAGCAGCCACTTCATGGCCACCCTGGGCCGCTGCTCGCATGTGCTGGGAAGCTGAGGAAGGAAGCAGCTAAGAAGTCAGGGTGCTTAGCCGTGTTCTAAGTTTAGCCCTCCAAGGAAACCTTTCAGACAGGCTGGCTTCCCCTTTTTGTTGTGAAAGTACATAGGTGTGCAGCGATAAACACTGCTTTAACAGTGCAGGCTGATAGAATGATGATACTTGCTGAACATTTACTAAGCTTTGTTCACTGTTTTGCACATTTTCTGTCCTACTGACTCTACCAATTCTCAGGATAATCCCAGGGTTTAGATACTATTATTGCCTTCATCTTACACACGGGGGAAGCCTAGAGTGTAAATCCTTGCCTCAACAGCTAGTAAATATACACAAACCCAAGCAATCTGGTTCTGTAATATTTTTAAGAATATATAAATAAATAAATGTCATTGTTTCTATTGCCGGTTGTTTCCTTTGTCATAGTTTCAACTTGTTGATGCTACTAGATTATTTCTTGCAGAAGTAATGTTCCCAATATCTCCCTTTTGTGTAGAAAATAATCTTTCAAATGAATGGAGGAGTTTGTTAGTGCTAGGAAGGAAGGAAAGATATTAATGACAAATCGCAACATCTAGAGGTAAATTGCTACCTTCACTGGGGATTCCCAATAATTAACACTTCTTTTTCCTTTTTATCAGCAAACCTTGAAGAAAAAATGGGTGGAGTTCAGATCTCTGCAGTTACAGGAACAGCGTCTGCTTCATGGTAAGTGTGATTTCCTGTTCAGAAGAAACCACACTAACATTCATCTTTTTGGTATTTCGACCTCTAAGTTGTTGTAAGATTATCATCATTATAAGAAAACATTGTCTAGCATGGATCAAAAATACTGGTCTCTGGGGGTTTTTTGGCATGGCCTTTGGATTTACTTGTGCTTTCAGAGAGTAAGTCAAGTCACATCCCTTCTTCCATGCATATAACACATATGCACACAAAACCACACACACACACACACACACACACACACACTCACATGTGTGCACACACTTGCAAGAAGCACCTGGAGATTTTAGAAGATCAGTGGGAATAATAGTCTGATTTACCTACTATTACAATAGATGAATTAAATTTCTGAGAATGCTTGTGGCTCAGGGTTGTGTAGTTCTCAGAAACTACTGAGGCTGGAATGGTAGCTTGCTTCTTGGGTAGAGCTCCTACCATTTGTACATATTATATAAGTTACGTGAATGCAGAGAAATGCTTATTCATGGCCTGCAAACCCAAGACGGGAAATACCAGCGATCATTCTAACAGTAAATGCATGGCTCTTGCTGCTGTGTAAATTCTGAAAGGAATGGTTGAGTTTAAAATTAATTGATTTGGGGCACCTGGGTGGCTCAGTTGGTTGAGTGTCTAACTACTGATCTCGGCTCCGGTCTTGATATCAGGGTCATGAGTTCGAGCCCCATGTTGAACTCTGTGCTGGGTATGGAGCCTGCTTAAAAAAAATTGGGGGACCCCTTGGTGGCTTAGCGGTTTAGTGTGAAATACAGGTTATACCTTCTTCAGATAACCCTGAGCTAAAGTCTATTTATAACCTTTAACTTTGTTTGTTTCAGGCAATAATTTATTTACAGAATAAAAGATACATTTAACTCATAATTAGGCACTAATATATGGCTTTGATGTTTATTTTGAAATTCTGTTTTTTAAATGAAGCTTCTATATAAATTATTTCTCTTGTCTGTTTTTAAATTAATGTTTTATTATTTTTTAAATTAATATTTTAAAACAATTGTAGCAGATTTTTTGGGGGTCTGACGTTTCCTAGCAGGACACAGGTTTAAATCCAGCCACTCTTGGATTTCTGTAGACTTTGAGGATGTCTGGGAAACCTCTGCGTCTGCTTCTGGAGCATTCTAGAGTGGAGATGAGGTTTGGCCTAATGTGTATAGGCAGTCCTGGGGTTCTATAGGAATAGCTTCTGTAGACAAGATCTTTAGTTCAGGATTAAGGGGAATGACTCCTCATTAAAGCCATTGTTTTACACTTTTTTTTTTTTTTGAGAGATTGAAGGAATTCTTTAGTTTGCTTTTTCTAGACCTAGAATAAATACACAGGGTATGAGATTCTCAATTGCTTTCCAATCAGGCTGTTGCCAGATGAAATAAAGTAGGTTTTATTAGGAAAAAGGAAAGCATTCTGACGAGTCAGTGCAGAGCTGGCCGTCTTCAACCTTGCAGATTAAATGGAAAATCAGGCTCTTTTTGTATTGCTCATCAAGGACAAAGGAAAGTGACAGTAGAGAAATAATCAGCGCAGAGTAAAACCATTACTGAGTGTGCAGTGTTCTATTGCTGTTCCTGAAGCAGAGTCCCCTTCTAATTACCGTGTTCTCAGGCTTGTGTAACAAATAATCCCCTTCCTTTTAGCAGCATACCAGCCAGCTCAGTGCATAAGCAAGTGGGGCAGGGACAGGATGTTGATGTGCAATTAAAATCTGAGCTTGGAGAGCCCAGATGCAGGTTATGAAAGGTTGATGAAAAAAATCGGCTAAGCAGATAAAACTCAGCTCCTACAAATAAATTGTTACTTATTTGAGGACAGGGATGTTTTCTGGGTATGGTACTATTCCAAGCATTTAAGTATTAAAGTATTCTAGGAAGAAATATGGAATATTGAGGTTGGAAGATACCCTTTCTGTTTTGACTTATCTATAATCAGCCTACAGGTGGAGGCTACATAACTGTGTTTCCCATACACTTCGGGTGATGTTATAAGAATTTTATAAGTCCTTGAAAAATGTGGTAACTAAAAATCAGAGGAACTTAATGGAAGAAGTCTGTAAGACAGCATTTCCTCAAGTATATTCTTTATTTTATTTTTTCTGAGTGTACTCTAGAATGCCATTTCTGTGAGAATTTCAATAAAAGGTTGCAGGGTCACTTCTGTTTAAAAAGTGATACTTTTGGAGCTTGACAAGTCATACCAGCATTATCTCAGATGACTTGACTATTCTTACATGAAGAAGCTATTTAAATTTATTTAATTTCCAGTACTATTTCTGTGACCAGGGAACATTTTTTACATGGAAGCTAGTCCATGAACAATAGTTTGGGAAATACCACTATAAGGTTTATCAAGCAGTCTCATAAATAATCACTTATTCATACAGGTGAAACTCAGGGAAAAATATTACTCACCTTTACTCTTTCTTACACCCTTTGAAGAGAAATTTGGGTGTGTTTACTTATGGGGAATGATGCTCATACCCATTCCACAGTAGACTTTGTTTTCTGCATTCTAGGTAACACAGGTAACTGCCCAAGTTTGGAAAACATGGACATAGATGAGTCAGTTTTGTTTGGAACCCTGCCTGGGCCAGGCCCAGCCCTCCTGGACCGGAATCGATTATCGAGTGAGAGCAGCTGCCTGAGCTCCATGACCGTGGACAGCGAGGATGGCTACCAGACGTGTGTGTCTGAGGACTCAAGCAGAGGAGGCTTCAGTCGACAGACAAGCACAGATGATGAGTGCTTTGTCCCCAAGGATGGAGATGATTTTCTGAAGAGGTCTTCTTCGAGAAGGAACCGAAGTGTTAGTACTGCCAGCAGCGGGTCCATGTCCCCCTTGTGGGAGGGCAACTTCTCAAACATGTTCGGGACCCTGCCCCGGAAGAACAGAAGGGGAAGTGTCCGGAAACAACTCTTAAAATTCATCCCTGGCCTTCATCGTGCAGTGGAAGAGGAAGAGAGTCGGTTTTGATGGGTTGTCCTGACCTTTCATATTACCTTATTTCGCAAATATCTCTAGACTTGTGTAGATTATTCCACCCAGCCTGGTGGGAAATTGCAGATGGGTTGCAAAACTGAAACCCCATATCATGACAATAGTGACCTTTATTTAAATTTTTGTATCCTAATTTGTGCTTCTTAAATCATTTTTTAGCCAGCAAAGCTCAGGTTATAAACAGAAAGTAGGGAAACTAAGTAATAAGTTGGATAATATAACAAATTAATGCACATTCCTGCTCATTCTAATGCTGCCTGTGAAGGCAAGGGTGATATTTATTTTCTAGATTATGTGAAAAATTGAGAACTTTCCAGAGTCAAGTGTAAATAAAAGAGTGTTGGAATATAATTATTTGGGATACCTTCCATAGGTTAATTGGTAGGTCAAAAAACTTTGCTTAAGATCAGTAGCCTCCAGGGAGGCTTGATAATAGGTCATTTTGAATGTTTTTGTTTAAACCTGTAAAAGATTATAAACAAAGATGATCATCAGCTATTTTTCACATCCATAGCAACAATAAAGCAGGAAGTATAAGATACAATAATATGAGGGTTTGAGATCCATGGAACATGTTGTCTAAGATGAGTGCTGAGCAAGATTATGATAAAGTTTCCTTTTTTATAGACAGCCTCAACAAAATGAGTGAGAATGTCATTCTCACTAACTCAGTTTTTGTTTCGCCTGAACATTGATGGCAAGTGTAGAATTCTCAAGATCCTTCATACAGCTTTATAATTTTTTTGAGCAAATATCTTAATATTGAAAAATTAGAGCCAGGAAAAGGATCTTCCTCCTATAGATTTTTTCACATTACTCCTCACTTTATGTTGTATATTCCAAACAATTATTGCCTCAACCCTCTCTTGCCTATTGGTTACATATTGGTATCATATTACTTCTAACTTTTCAATCACATTTTTATTTAGTACCCATTCCAGTCCATGATTTCTCTGTTTTGGTGATACAGCTGCTAATGACCTGTGTTCTAGAGTAGATAATCCAGACAATTAAATAAATAGTCCTCATTGAGTTAAAGCTTTGTGGTGTGTGTGTGTGTGTGTGTGTGTGTTTGGGAGGAATAGAGATATTTGGTAGGTGACTTTGAATGTAACCACACTTAGATAAATTGAGTAAAGAATGAGTCATTTTGAGAAAAAAAGGGGAGAGAAGGAAGCTTGTAGGGTAAGAAATGAATATTAAAATAAAGTATAAAAAGATTTCTAATTGGAACCTGCTTTCTATTAATTATTTGAACTCCGAATTATCCAGTGGGCTCTGCTTAGGAACCATTCATATGAAAACAGTGTGCTGCGTTTCTCAGGAACAGTAACAATGCTGTCTACCATTTACTGTATATCTGGCAGGTTAAAGATGTTTTTCATGTGATTCCCTGAAACAACCCTGATAGATGTTATCCATACAGATAAAGAGCAGGAATTCAGAGAAGTGCCCATGACCAGTGGCAGGCCTGAGACTGGAAGCTAGTTCTTTATGGCTCTGGCCTATTCTCAGTCTTTCTAGATATTGTTTTCACTCTTGTGCTGATTGTGTGTGGTCATCACCACAGGACCCCCACCCCCACCCCACCCCTGTCCCGCCCCTCATGGAATACTTAAAACAGAAAATTGTAGATACTACATGGATAAAAATTATCTTTGGTAAATGAGAGAACAAACACATTTGTTTTTCTCTTGGCCTCCACAACAAGTTTTCAAATATAGGCACATTGATAACTGCATGGTTAACAATACATTTATTTTCAACAAGAGCTTGCACACCAGCTGTGATCGGATGAACACTGCTAATTTCCCATTGTAGACTAGAATTATTGTGTTAACGGTCTGCTTACATGAATGCAACATATAATCCTATTTTGCCAAATCCAGGGGAAAGAAATAATCAAATTTATTTGAGGAAAGGTGACTTTAATTCTTCTACAATATGATCGGTGTTTTGAGAACTTCTGTAAGTCACCTGGGAAAGCAGATTATAGGTCATTTGCTTATCTCATGGCTTTAAGTGTTAAGTATAGTGTAATTCTTCTTCCGTACAGTAAATATCAAATCCAAAAAGGTGCAGGAAAGGGACAGAACAAGTTTCACCGTAGTCTGAGGTAAGAATTAGACTCAAGAGTTTGAGATGTTCTGGAAAAAGAGAAAAGCATTTCTTCATTTCTTAACCAAAGTACAGGAAGGAAGGGTATGTCATGTTTTGTGTGTTCACAAACTATAAGAAAACTAGCTATTGTTTAGTGGAAATGCGGGTAAATTTCTCACAGCACGGCTTTTCAGACTATCTGACCTCAGTGGGGCTTTAGAAGATTTCATTTCTGTAATCTGGTGTGCAATGACTCTGATGTAACTTACTGGGAAAAGAATTGAAAAGTGAAGTGTTTTGTTTTTTGTTTATCCTGAAATGATCAAATAATGTGATATTGGTGGATTTCATTAATTGACAATTGGTTATGAAAATGCATTTTTGTAGTATGGCATTGATAAACCAAACTCCAATCAAGCTTATTGAGAATTACTCTGTTCTGTGGCTAAAGGAACACCACACCACTCAATATATCAAAGTGGTCGGTACTCTATTTTTTGAAACTTTTGTCACTTTCTACTTTGCAATACTTTTATATCTTAAATGCATGTACAAACAGTATTAAAAAATCCTAGTTTGAACTAAAGAAATCAAACTTGGGTACAATTCATGTGTATTGATCATATAGTCTTAAGTATTTATGGATGTATATAATCTACGTATAGTGAATAATACATGACAACTATATTGAACCCCTTAGATCAAAAGATTATTGTACTTTATATATCCATTTCCTTATAGAAATATAGCAATAAAAAAACCTTTCTGAATTAAAGAATGCTATTCTTCAGTGTCAGAGCTCTCTTCTCTCCCTTTTTCTCTCTCCTCATCTTTCTGTCTTTGCCTCTTTACCTATCTACCTTAAATGAAATGATTCTTTCCAAAGCAGATTTTCCGAAAATCTGGGGCAACATCTTGATACCTGCCTCTCTGAGGTTTTTAAAAGGCATGGACTGCTTAATTGAGGCTTTGCACATATATTAGCTTTCTGATTAACAAATTTCTACACACTTAGAGGTTTAAAACATATTTATTTCCTCAAAGTTTCCGTGGGTCAGGTACCTGGGCAAATCTTAGCTGGGTCTGCTCAGGGATTCATGAGGCTGCAGTCAGGGAGTCACCCAGCATTGAGTTCTCACCTGGAAGTTTGCCTGGGGAAAGATACACTACCAAGCTCCCTCAGGTTGTTGTCAGAATCATTTTCTTGTGCCATAGGATTTGCAGCAGCTTGCTTAGTAAAAGCCAGCAATGAAAAGAGAGAGACTGCAAGCAAGACAGTCTTAAATAATGCAACATAACCATAAGAGTGACATCATCTTCGCCATATAGCAGAACATAATTATACAAGTGACATCCTACCAACTGGGCCATATTACGTTTGCTAGACACAAGTCATAGAAACCATCCACACTCAAGGAGCAGGGATTACACAAGGCATGAATATCAGAAGGTAGGGATCAAGGAGGTACCTTAGGGTCTGTTCAGAACATCATTCATGGAGTTCACAAATTTGGTAATATATTGTGTCTTTTCTAAACTCCTTTGAGTAAATACAAATGGTGAATGTTTTAATTTTTAAAAGAGAGGTAGTAAGATCTCTGAAATTTAAGAACCTGGGCAAGACTGTTTAGCTAAAATGTTGAGTAGGAAACTGAATTCAGGTCTGTTTCTGATCTGATTTTGTACTAAGTGCATGAAATTGTGGGAGATTTAAAAGAATATTAAAGTGTGAGCTGGTTACTTGCCTTAAAATTCTTCTCAAGGAATTTGAGTGTATTTAAGTGAATTCAGTGATTGGCATGATGAAATTTATCACATCTATATTGGTAGATCTTTATGAGCACAGGACAGGAATTCCACAGAAAAAATATCATAATCAAAACTACAAAGCACAAAAACAGATAATCAACCATGAGCAAAAATTAGGAGATGGCACAAATACCAGAATTATCAAAACTAGAGAAAATATAGCAGTTTGAAAGAATATAACTATTTCTTAGGAATAGAGGATAAATGAAGAACATATGCAAAGAACATTTGCAACTCAACAAAGAACATATGCAAATATCATAATGGTGAGAAACTGGCTGCTTTCCCCCTAAGATCAAGTACAAACCCAGGATATCCTCTCACCACTTTTATTTACCATTGTACTGAAAGTTTCAGCCAGTGTACTTAGACAAGGAAAGGAAACAAAAGGTATACAGAGCAAGAAGGAAGAAATGAAACTTTTTGTTTGCCGATGACATGATTGTGGGAAAAATCATGAAGAATCAACAACAACAAAAAAATCTTGGAAGTAATAAGTGAATATAACAAGGTCACAGAATACAAATTACTATACAAAAGCCAATTGATTTCTTATGTAAAAGCAATGAAAAACTGGGATATGAAATTAAACAATAACTTTAAAATAGTACCCCCAAAATGAAATACTTAAATATAACCTTGACAAGTATCTATGTCTGAAAAACGTTGTCCAAGAATATCTAAATAAATAGAGATTCTGTGTTCATGGATTGGAAGACTTAATAGTGTTAAGATGTGACTTCTTTGGGGATCCCTGGGTGGCTCAGTGGTTTAGCGCTGCCTTCAGCCTAGGGCGTAATCCTGGGGTCCCGGGATCGAGTCTTCTGTCGGGCTCCCTGTATGGAGCCTGCTTCTCCCTCTGCCTGTGTCTCTGCCTCTCTCTCTCTCTCTCTCTGTGTGTGTGTCTTTAATGAGTAAATAAATAAAACACTTAAAAAAAATTTGACTTCTTCTTAATATATAGATTTAGCAAAATCCCAATGAATATTCCAGTAAACTATTTTGTAGACCCTGAGAAACTGATTGTGAAGTGTATATAGAAAAGCAGAAGACCTAGACTAGCCAAAGTGAAGAATGAAGACAAGGAACAGAAAAAGGAGAGGAAGTTGAAGGAATGACAATACTCAATGTCTTGATTTTCTGTCAATCTACAATAATTAAGACAGCACAGTATTGGCAAAAGAATAGCATATAGATCAACAGAACAGAATAGCGTGACCAGAAATAGACCCATGCAAATATAGCCATTGACCTTTGACAAAGGAGTAAAGGCAATTAAATGGAGAAAGGACGGTGTTCTCAACACATGGTTCTGGAACATTTGGACATCCATATGCAAGACCTTACACATTTCACAAATTATAGACCTATATATAAAACATAAAAGTATCAAACTTCTGGAAGATAACATAGGAGAAATCAAAATCAGTGTGATCATTGAATTTTGGATTTGGTGATGAATTTTTAGGTACAATAAAAGGATGATTTGTGAAAGAAAAGGTCAATATTTGTACTTTATTAAAATTAAAAACTTCTGCTATGGGAAAGAGAGTTCTGTTTTTCTTTGGGGGAAAAAAGGCATAGATTGAGAGAAAATATTCGCAAAAAAAAATTTGACAAAGGACCTGTGTGCAAAATATAAAAAAGAACTTTTAAAATTCAAAAATAAGAACAATTTAATTAGAACATGTTCAAAACATCTGAACCGACACATCTCCAAAGATAATACATAGATGGCAAGTGCATCAAAAGAATGCAGTGTCTTTTGTCATTTGGGATTTGCAAATTAAAACAGCAATGAGATACCAGTACATGGCTGTTAGGATGACTAAAATCCAAAAAACTGACAATGCCATTTGATAGCAAGGATGTGGAGCAACAGAAATGCTCTTGCATTGCTGGTAGGAATGCAAGATAGTACCACCAGTTTGGGAGAGAGTTTGGCATCTATTTTTTTACTATGCTAAAGAAAGCTTTACCATATGGTTCAGCAATTGTGCTCCTAGGTATTAACTCAACTGATGGAAAACTTATGTTCACACAAAAACCCACACGCAGATGTTTGTAGCAACTTTATTCATAATCACCAGAAATTGGAAGCACTGAAATGTCCTTCAGTAGGTTAATGGATAAATTGTGGTTGTATCCATATAATGGAATATGATTCGGGTAAGAAAAATTGAACTAACAAGACAGGAAAAGAAATGATGAATCTTAAATGCATGTTGCTAAGTTAAAGAAGTTAGTTGGAAAGGGATTTTAATATGATTCTAATTTACATGACATTCTGGAAGAGGCAATACTGTAACAATAGTAAATAAATCAGTGGTTTCCAGGGGCCTGGGTGTAGGATGGAATGAGGTGTGTGTGAAGAACGTTGAGTAGATTGAGCCCTGGTGAGTTTTATAGAGTTGTCAAAGTCTACTTGATCTGCTGAGACAAAATCTACCTGATCTACTGCAGACTGAGTGGCTTAAACAACAGAAATTTGTTTTCTCACGGTTCTGGAGGCTGACCGCCCAGCAGCAGAGCCATGGTGGGTAGGAATGACCATTTGAGACCCAAACATCCATCTGCAAGCTGGGGAGAGCTCTTCTAGAAATCAAACACTACAGAACCTTAATCTTGGACTAGACCCGGAACCAGCATCCAGAGCTGTGAGAAAACTGTTAAGTGAAGGATTGAATGCAGAATGGACAAGACACTCACTATATGACTAATGTATGAAACAGCCTACTCAAGAAAATAGAAGGACTTTGGAAATGATTAGAGTCTGTAACTTAAAGCCAAGGAAACCATACATAAACATTGTAGTCCAGTTGAGAAAACTGTTTCCCATGGGGATAGCTATTAACCATTATGATACTGCTGTACCTATATATTGGAACTGAACTAGTAATAAATGACTGATGGGAGCCACGGTTTTTTCTGTTGGAGTGGTAGTTTGCAGATAAGCAAAGGAAGAGGCTAGGATGATCCATGTGGAAATAGGTTAGAGATGCTGACATCAATATGCACTCAATACTAGCTTAATATAGGTACAGATGGTTACATAGAAAAATATTTATAAATATTTTTTATACAAGGGTAATATACATACACATATTAATTTGCTCTGTTAGCAGAAAAGACATAGAAGAAATGATAACTAGAATCAATGAACAAACTTAGCACCAAGATCTTGGTTTCTAATACTATTTCCAATAAAAGAAACCAAGATTCCCTGGGGAAATGATTGATTCTAGGACTGGGACAGGAAATGTGAAAGAACCTAGATTATTTTGCAGTGCCATAATTTAAAGAAGTATTTGAAGTATAAAACAAAAGCTTCACAATAAGGGAGATACATCAAAGGGAGACAGAAATCAATTGAATGAGACTCCAATCAATGGTCAAATATGGAAGTCGGAGCAGCAAACTAAGTAAAAGGATATTAGACTGTAGCCAAAGATACAAAATAAATATCCATGGATGGGTCCATACCAATGTAAATAGATGAACATTTATTATATTTATTTATTATGAAATGAATAATAAATGGAATGAAGAGATGACTCTTCTATGCAGAAGAACTCCAAGTAACTTACATAAGATATTCCACTCTGGAGGAGCTGGAGCGGAACACTTCACTCCTTAAACATGGTCACTTCCAAAGAGTACAGCATAGAAACGGGAGGAGAAAAGTAACTCTACAGCAGAGATACCTGAAGAATGTTACTCAGTCAGATGATCAAGGCCATTATCAATAGCGACAGGTCATGTTGATTTTATGTACGCTTGATATGATGTAGCGAGAAGAGCTACATATTTGCAGTCTTCCTCCTTAAACCCATAGCTGAGTCCAGTAATGGGAAAAACATCAGACAAATCCTAGTTAAGTCATTTTACAAAATACCAACTGGAACTCCTCAACACAGTCAAGGTCCTTGAAAACAGGTAAAGTCTG